AGAACTGGAATAACATTTTTTATCGTGCGCTGTTTGAGATGTAAATGCAATCATCGTATGAATGCGTCCATGTTTTACGAGTTCTGTTGCCCTCATGACCACAAAAAAGGGTTTACTCAAACAGAAGAAAGCCAGTTTCAATGATCTGTACCTTGACTCCGATAAACGCAAGAAATTTGAATGTAGCCGCTAAGAATTGTACAGATAATTTTATTAAATTGGTTCTCTCAAAGTGCAAAAAACTGTCCATCCGCAAAATTAAACTCATGTAAACTGAAAGTTGACAAAGTTTGGAAGACACAATTTGGCTGACTCGTTCAAATTTTGACTAGAGAGACGTCGTCTCTCGTTACCATGCCAAATGAAAGTCAACAATTTTTTTCCCAAATGCGTCTAAGAAATGGTAAATGTTATTCAACGGAAAAAAGGCCTTACGAGTTCATAAACAAGTCTGCTATAATAAAAAAAATTATCTTAGTCTACCTTTTCCATAAATGAAAACGAAAAATGTGAATTTGAAAAGAACAGTCATAATTTTCAGTTGGTGATTAAAATTTTCGTATGTCTGCTTAATCTTGACAAGGATCTGGCTCTGACACTTATCTGTAGCTGAAATAAAAACCAAAAAAACCAAACTACCTTTGTTGGGGTATCACTTTAACTGCTGTAGGCACCCTTGAATGAAAGCATGCAATATCTCCAAAGTTTATAGGCCGCAATGTGGCCGGCCCAAAAAGAAGCAAAAAAATTTTGCTGCTTTGTAAGAAAGTTTGAAACTTCCATTCTTTACGTCACAGTCTTTTATATGTCATTTATGGAATTTGGAACGAAGAGCGCGCCATTCTTTTTTCTTCGTCATCACTAAACGGCAGTTGAGTCAGGTAAAAATTGAAAAAAGTTTAAAACACTTGGGGATTAGGACACATCTTCCGCTGACTCTGCTAAATCCTTGCCGCACAGTGCTTTTGAAATGTTTTATGCTTAAAGGCTATGATAGATTGTTGCGACAACACATTTTTGGGAAACTTTACCATTATTATTTTTCCACGCCTTTTTAAAAACACCTCTTGCAAAAGTTTCCCTGTAAACCTGCTTTATTTTCCTTTTTTTCGCCGAAGGAGCTTTTTATCAAAACGTACTGTTATCCATTCTCAGTCTCGAACTTGCACGATTAAAGTTGTGAAACAAGTTGAAATTTTTAGTTTTTATACGTACCCACCTCCAGTAGCTACTCAAGTTGTGGTGTTAAAGTCAAGATAAGTACAAAATTAAAGGACGTCCGACAGCACCTGAGTAGATAAGACAATATTTTCTCCGCTCAGGATCAACCGCTAATTTTTCCAGTGCAGATAATTCGCGTTGATCTTTTACCACGCGCTCGTGCACTTCTCGCGTGTCAATGAACTTTTTGCATACGACTGCAAATATTAACAAATTTTGCTTTGAACATGTCATATGTCATTAGCGTATTGTTAGATACATGATGTGGATCAGTCATTTTTTAGGTGCCTTTCTGCAGTTTAAAGAAGACAAAAACAGTAATAATTTTTTATCTCTAAATCTAAATCTATTTCGTTTCTTTTAGGATGTTTTCTACTGAAAAAAATTTTTTTTAACTGTTGAACCTTGTAAACGCGTACGATGCCAGCCTTTATTTTGGCCTTTTCTGGGAGACGTTCATTAAGTTTGAGACATCTGCAGGCAGTCTAACCAACCTTAAAATGTCAGGAGTAAGAAAGTATCAACACAAACACAAGTGCAAAAAAAATGAAAAATCTGTGTGGCCTGGATGTTGTGCTAGAAGAGAAAGTGTCCAGCTTTGCCCGCTTTGGGATACACTTTAAATTAACTGCAAACAATGCCAGAAGGGCGAGTATTTTAGACTGCGCCTTTTGCAACCTGAGTATACGGGCGTTTTAAGGTGGCCCGAACCTATTTATATGCACGTTGGTTATGTTTTTGAATCGCGTTTTTTGGCTTATTCGCTGAAGTTCGAGAAAAATCTGTTTTAGGGTTTCGAAGTTATTGACAGCTCAAGCGGAAAAAAATTTGACACGGCATGTTTGCAAAGATTTTACAAGTTTCAACAGACGAGCAAATGGGTAAATATAGTTACTGTAGTAAACTTGTTGAGTTTAAAACTCAAAACCTTTTGCGTGATAAGAGGGGCACAGCAAAATATCTTGACATAACAATTCATGCAAAATTTTGGGGGGTAAACAAGGTGCATTATGGTCTACATGAAGATAGTGAATAATGGTAAGGGAAAATACACAGTAACTTTGATAAATAGAAGTTATTTAATCTTGCCCCGCATTCAGCATAAAGTTGTCCTTCTTATATTGCGAACTGTATTCGCCGTAGGTTTCTGATTACTCAATTTCTTGCTACTGAAGCTATGGGCAAGAATACCCTTGCAGATAGGAGATAGTCCGTCGGCAGTTTTCCTCTATTTTTGTGTCAACTTTCACAAATGTGTTAGCGTTGCATTTTAAAGTTAAATTTGACCAGCTATTTGTGCTAAGAGTTCTACGATCACGATTGACTTCAAACTTGCAGATACAAAACTAGAGAGCTCTTAGGCTTATTTGCCGAAGTTAGAGAAAAATCTGTCTTAGGGTTTTGAAATTGTTGACTTTTTTTGTAGAAATGCGGTTTTAAACATATGCCGATTACACCTATAAGAAAATAAATAGCATTTTCTTAACGTTCGACCATTTTTTATTAAGGATACCAAAAATCATAGAAATCGGTTAAATCATTTCTGCCGAAAAACGCGATTCAAAACATAACCAACGCGCAAATAAATTGGTTTGGGCTACCTTAATTCCGAAATTTTGAATGAAGATTTGAGCCACTCGACTGAAAGCTTCCTCGAGCGCGGCCATATTGCTTTGCTTTGTCAACCGCACATGGGGTACTGATAAAAAGCAAGGCTGTGATTGGACGAGTGTCCGTGGCGCGAACAACTTCCAAAAAATGGAAGCTGGATTCTAATTGACTAAACGCTGGAAAGGAATATGGTTCGGGTCTGGCAGCCGTTTGTGGGGAGGAGAAATGCGTGATGACACTAAAAACGGCTGTGTGGCAGACTAAAGGAAGGAGGCCAGGCCGACTTCTTACTAGTCTAACAGACCTTTAATAACATCTTATCAGACACTAAACCTATGAACAGTCTGTGATGAATAACTAAATTAAAATTATTGCATGGGGACAAGCTGCCAATTCAAGTCTGAACAAAATTCTAATACTGCAAAAACGAACTCTACGGTTAATGTGCTCTTCTGACTGGAGAGCTCATGCCATACCTATGTTCGTCAGGTCTGGTGTTTTGCCTCTGAATATGCTGTACTTTAAATATTCGGCTATCCTAATGCACGATATCTCCAATAACCGGGCTCCCTCTAAAATTTCTGAATTGTTCGTCCGTTCTAACATGATCCACTCTTATTATACCAGATTTTCCGCCGCAGGTGATTTTTATGTCCAGAGATCTAGACTCAATCAGCTATCATTATCTTTTTCTAGAAGTGGTGTAAGCAGCGCAAAGACCCTTTCAAGCGTAAATTACATAAATTACTGATCGAGGTTTTGAAGACCAAGAAGGTGTATGTTGATATGAGTACCATTACTAGTTCCTACCTGAACTCCTTATTCAGTAAAAGTGTTTTCCCTCCTTATAACTATAGGTGCTACCTTTTATTTATTTATTTATTACAATTTATTTTTGCTTTCTCTTTACTTACATTCTTTTGCCGACTTTATAGAAGACAATTATTGTATTGTTGCCCAACTAGAATAGCTCCGCTAATTGTGGGTAACATAGGCCTAACTCATTTGACAATTGAATAAACTGTTGTTGTTGTTGGTGGTGGTGTTAAAAATGTATCAGCGACTTCTGTAAAAGATAGCAATAACTGCATGATAAAATACAAGATGACCCTTACTGTCAGTATTATTGTTACTGTAAATCAGTAATCATGCTTATAGGGTAAAACGCATCCCTAAAGGTAAAGGTTTTAATGTATATGTCATATGAACCTGTATATATAGCTGTCTCAATTGATTATACATGTCTATCAATTTGTGCCAGTCTCCATTATGGGACGATATTTTTCGGAGTAAGAAAAGCGTCATTTATATGGACAATTTTAGTTTGTTTGGATGCACATTGTTAGTATGTAAAGCTAAAATATATCACTTGCAGCTATATTTACAGGTATCTAAAATGATTCCGATACGTCTACTAATTTACTCTAGTCTCTCCCATTATTGATGCTTTTTCGTTGTTTGTAATATGGACCCTCCTAGTTTATTTAAATATACGTTGATACTACGTAAAGCTAAAATATATCATATAGCTGTGTGTATAGCTACGTAAAATGATTTTTAAGTTATGCTAATCTTCACCATTATTGGAAATTTTTAGTTTTGAGTTTTATCTGTTTGGACCTTTTTAGCTTTAATTTGTTTAAATCACACATTTTAACTATGTCAAGGTACACTGTCCAGTAGAGGCTTTTACTGGGAAATAACGTGTTTCCTTTTGCCCCTGATCGAGCTCGATCAAGCCTCTGCAGATAATGATCAATTCCAGAGCTCAAGGGGATGAGCAGAGAACCCCTGAGTCTCTTGGGTGGGGAGGGTGAATTCTTGGTACCAAAGCCTTACTTAGCTGAGGGCTTTAAGAGTGTCGGAGAAGCAATGTTTATATGAAGTCAGATATACATAACTGGGAACAGAAGAACTTCGACATTGGATTAAGTGTTTGAAAGTGTCCTGGTCGTGGAACGTTTCCCAAGAAGAAGAAAAAACTTAACTTTTTTTTAAGGCTCAATGAAAAATGCCACACAATTCTGACTCAAATCAACGCTGTTCAGGGAAAAATTTACGCACATTTTTATAGCTTAGGTATATATACCTCACAGTTTTTGTTCGTCGATTTATGAACATAGGTTATTCCCCAATTGCCTCGTAGGAATAAGTAGGTTAGTTTGCAGTTAGAGTGTGTGATTTGCTAATGTCAAGAGTCTAGCACCCTCATTGGTTATCTGGTTACTACTGAGGATTAAGAAGGTTAGTTTGCAGTTAGAGTGTGTCAGTGCTGAAGTTATCTGTTTCGCACCTTCATTGGTTATCTGGTTCTTTTCGAGGGATAATCTATTTAGTTTACAGTTCGTGTGTGTGAGTGCTACAGTCAGGTGTTTCGTCACCTTCGTCAGTTATCTTGTTATCAATGAGGCGTAAGTTGGTTAGCTTGCAGTTAGTGTGTGTGAGTGCTGTGACTAAATGATGAACTCCTTCATCAGTTATCGGGTTAAAATGGACGGTGAAGCTGCTTAGTTGATCGTGTTCGCTACCACAAAACAACTTCGCAAGCTCTATACATCCTAGCGACTGAAGGTTGTTAGCCCATAAATCAAAACCCAAAATTCCTTCAACAGATTTTAAAAGTTGTCAGCAATGACGACAAACTGTTTTTGAAAACACGCCTACAGAGATATATCGATGATTTTTTTCTTCCACTCTTTGAAGGCATTTCCCCCCAGAGGATGTTGCTCTGCCCCTACCGGACGGTTTAGGCGGCCTGTAAATTGCTAGTAGTACTATGTCAGTCCTTCATATCCTGGATTCTACAGCAATGGCTTCAAGCGTTTTGTATGCTTTTGGAATTATTAATGAGATTCTGAAGCTGTCGTAGGCGACCACCCTCTATTGCTTACCATGGGGTCGCTTACGAGAGCTCATTCTCGTAAGCGACCCGCTCTACTTACCACTTACCACTTTTGTAATTGATAGATACTGTTTCTTGCAATTGGGTGATGTAAAATCACTCTGAAGGTTGGACACCGTCTCAGTTTTTATCCAGTCTCAGACTGCTTTTTTTTCCTGGACTCGAGGCCTATAATATACTAAAGTGGCAGCTATGGACAGCTGTTTCACCCTTTTTGGAGCTCATCAGGATGACATAACCGTCGGAACTATGAATGGACAAAGTCGTGTAGCAAAGGCCCTTCATTCAAAGTACTCTTTTAATTAAGCGCCAGCTCCAAGCAAGGGAAGTTTTGCTCCAAGCTAACATGCCATCCCTAACACTTGCATCTTCCTGACTTTGTGAACTTCAAACTCTCGGTCTTTTTCACTTAGTTTCCTAGCCTGCGCGCATTTTAAGCTCTCCATTTCGAGAATTTCCTGAAAAGTCAGGCGAGAGCGAGGGGAACCTGCCACTTGAAAAGCCTTTGCAGCTGGCCAGTCATGGGGAACAAAAAAAAAATGCTGAGGCGAAAGAAACGCATCGAGGGCAAAGAAAGAGCTCACATTTTTCAATAGTAATTGGCTCTGTTTGCCTTGTCTCTCATTGCAATTTTTGCGTTCAAGCATAGCGTTTTTGTGCCACGTGACTAACCAGCTGCAAACGGTCTGATTGGAGAGCTCGCTCTCAGGTTATTCGTGTTGATGAAAGCAATCTAGGCTGTTTTGCCATGCTAACGTGGAATGACCATCTTCGTCTCGTCAGGTTTACATCAAAGCCCTTCTTAGTGTTTGCTTTCGAAATAAGAACTTTATTTTGATGTGAATATCCATGTCTGCCTTTAGCTGGCTACAAAAGCCTTTTTATGGGTCCTATACCCCGGCCTTCCCCTACTTCTCTTTCGTCCGACCGCTTGTGTTGTGGGCTGTAGGAGAACAGCGAGGGACTGTGTTGGTCTTTTTACTGCCGGGCATCAGCCGCCAGCAGACCATATTCTTGAGCGATTTGAGATTTTTCGTTCAATGGTTCCGTGATTCGATGTTCAATCAATCTGTGACTGCAGCGCTGTGCAGTCAGCGGTTTGCTTAAGAAAGTGCTTAGCTGCCGCGCCTGTTTTTCTCTTAGTAGCAACCCGCCATTTTGTTTGGCTCCCTTGTAAGATCTGTGCAGAAATCGTAATTTATCGGATGTTTGCTGTCTTTTTAAACGGCCTAAACAGTAAGAACAGTTCAAGAAGTGTTGTACGGAACATTTTTTCTGTTTATTTTTTTTTATTCTAGGTTTATAGCGAGTATTCTCTTGTCACACAGATTGTTATCTCGGGGATTAGGATTGTAAGTTACATAAGTAAACGGCATGTGCTGTACATCTACCTGACCTGTGAATAAACAATTTTTGGCTTTTACATCAGTTATTTGTTCGTAACTCATCTCATCCTGTGTACGATGATTGTTCGGTGAAGAAACAGCCTCTATATCAGACCTGCTGTTGTTTTAGAATTTCGTGAATTGTTAAAATGAATATCAAAATGGTACTGAAACGTTAGCGAGTTATATGAATGTAAGCATATTTGTCATGGTGATCGGTTCATTTTTTATATTACGCTCTGAGTGTTACATAATGCCAACAAGTCTAAGTTATTGACTTTAATAAAAAAGAATTCATATGTTCAACTGTTCTACAAACTGTCTTTGTCCTATTCGCACCGTAACTAACGGCAGCACTTCCCCTCTCAATGAAAACTTCTAGTATCATTAATTGTGCAGAAAATGTCTTCTTTTCGACATAATCATCATGTGCTGTTAGAGCGGTTTTCACTTGACTGTCGTAAAACCAAAACCAAAGTAAATACACTAGCCAACCAAAGGGCGTAGTAAAACCAAAACCAAAACCAAAACCAATCCCTTTCGACAGTCAAGTGAAAACCGCTCTATTACCATTTCCCGAGTAATACTACTAATTGGCAAAGTCCGGTGATTAGAAGCACATGCTGTTAGGTTTGTAATGATAACAGTGAGCGCACTTCATATGCACGCACTTTATTCCAAGATGTTTAATGCGTTATGCTGGACCAGCAACATGAATTTAAGGACTTAAAGTTTGTTAGTGTCTGGCACTATTATGTTCTACCACGGCTTATTAAAGGCTATCTGTTTACATCTACCCAACGCAGCTTGATGTTTGTCCAGCTTTACTTGCTTCGACGAACAAAAAGCAAAAAATCGTTCCTCGGAGGACTAACTATTAAGAAAATTTAAACAAAAATTTCTAACTATAGCAGTTGAAGAGAAAAGGAACAAAACAGTCAATAAAAACAACAAAAACAATTATAAATAATTAACTTTCCGTCCCAGACTCGACAGAATTTGACGTGAGAGGTAATTGAAGTAAAACCGGGACGTGACAATCGACATCGTTACTGTTGCTAACGACAGTTATCTCTCTTGCCGACCAAGTTGATTAAAAGTTTGCTTGTCAGTATACAGTCAATTGTCAGTGATGAAAAATCTAGACGCCTGCGTTGATAGTTCTTCCGTAACAGAAGTTTAAGATAACATCATAATGGGCTCGATTAGCTAGCTAAAAGACCGATAGGTTTTCAAATATTTTTGTTGTTTATACAAACTCACAAATGTTCTTTAACTATTTTTTCAGGTCGTTTGCTAGGGAGACATTCAATCTGAGGAGATCAACGAAAAATCCTGCTAAAAGCCCTTACGGCAAACTTTGTCCATTGGGTTTGACTGCAAAAAGTCGGGCTGCAAGTGAAACAAAAGAACCGACGGCAGGTGCATCTATTCAATTAAAATTTTCCATTGGCCATTTCAATTCAATATTGATGATGTTCGAATATTTGTTACTTTACGATAATAGAGGCTTGTCTGAAAAAGATATCAATCGGGGCTTTGCAATGTAAACTTACCCCTTTAAGTTTTATCGGAAAACGAAATGCAGGTACATTGACTTTTTAATTAGCCATTCTTCTCTGGGAATGTTGTAATAGGTAAATTAGTGAAATAAGATTGATATTTCCCTGGGTGTAAAAAACATAATGTTTTTGAAAGGTGTCCTATTCTGCTCGTGTTTCCAGCCGATGTTTTTGATCTCACGGTCAAGGCGACCAAAATCTATTTTAATTCAAATTTCTCAATGTTTAGTTATTGAGTTTGAGTTAACAAAACAAATGAATTCGGAATGATTTGGCGGTGATCAAAGGGATACGAACCAATCATAAGAGGGATAATTACCTCTCCAATTTGAAGTCCATCCGTTTCCGAACATTTCTCAATAACATAAGACTGTCAAAGGTATTAACTCGCCTTTAAGGATCCATAACGTATCAGGGAGATCTCACAGAAGTCCACACAGAAAAGAAGTGGCACAAAACAACAGCTGTCTGGGGATATAACTGTAGAAGACGATTGACCTGTGTAGCCTGTGTAGCGACTTCTGAATTCATTTCTCTGAATTTGTTCCTTAGCCCGAAGCTCAGTTAGTTATGAAAGTATACCCAAAAGCCTGGATTGGTTGAGGTTACGCACTTTTGAGGTCGTATGTCTTGAGTATACATGCATTGAGAAAACGCTAATTCCAGACTTTGCTTTGGCTTGGGATGGTTCGAGAAATGTAAAGCGATTAGTCTATTGCTAATGCTCAAAGGTTTTCGTGTTTCAAAGGAAGAGTTAACGTCTTTGTTCAATATGCAAGCGGATACCATCATTAACAACAGTTTCACCTCGTCCAGCACTCCTCATGAGGCGGCGCAAAATCTTTCTGTAAATGCATCGAGCGGTGGAGAGACGATTGGTCCAAGTAATTCTGAAATTATTTCACAGGTCATCATTCTTCTTGTCGTGCTCATAATATCAGTTGGAGGAAACGGCCTAGTTTGCTTTCTCGTCTTTACAGTCAAACAACTACAAATTCCTACAAACTATTTCATTCTTTCCTTGGCGATGGCCGATTTCTTATTCGCAGTGATGTGTCTGCCTTTTCGTATCGTCAACATTCTACAGAATTACCATTGGACACTAGGACTGGCCGCATGCAAATTCTGGATCTGGTTAGATTTACTATTCTGTTCTGCCTCCATCGCTAACCTAGCAGCCATTAGCGTCGACCGCTATTTAAAAATCGCTTCTCCGCTAACCTACGACATACGGATGACATCTGTGAGGGTGGTTTTGACTTTAATAGCATTATGGGGATACTCCGTATGTCTTGCGTCGCTATCTTTTGTACAGGGCGAAGCGCCAGGCATTATAGTCGTAAGACAAACGTGTTACATTGACAACAAGATCTTCTTGACAGTTATTTCCGTAATAGGATTTTTCGCGCCTTTCCTTATTATGATACTTATGTATTGCTTTGTTTTTAAAATGGCTCTTGCTCAGGCAAAGGAAATGTTTCGTCGGCATGAATCACTTTACGCCGGAAATAAACCGAACGCACGGCGAAAGTCAACCCGAATGTCTGCTGGAACGATTTTCTTCGAGGTGAAAGCAACCAAAACTTTGATCATACTTCTCAGCGTGTTTTGTGTTTGTTGGTCGCCTTTTTTCGTTATGACGTTGCTGAGTCTTCACAGCCCAGAGGTTTATCGAGGATTACCTCGTTGGTTATCCGTTTTACTGAAAGTCGTGTTCGTCCATCTTTTGCCAAACTGCAACTCTGCATTCAATCCCATTATTTACACCATTTATAATCATCAGTTCAGGAAAGCTACTGAAAAACTTTTCAAGCACTATAGGAGAGCAAGATCTGGAAGTTTTACTTCTTTTTCTGAACCCCTAACAGAACTTAGAAGGCGTAACCATGCAGCTTGTTCAAGAACTTCACAAACGACGTCATCTTGTATGCGTGAAGAAAGCGGCATTTAAAATAATACACTACGATCTTAAAAGTCCAGCTGTGACATTTACAGAAAAAATGAAACGAATCTTCCTATTTTCACTTTTATTATTTGTATAATTTGCCTTATTCCATTATATTCCTCAACGGCAGATGCGCAAATTATCTACAGTAGGGACCTCGGAAATAAATTAAGTGTGGGTTGAACTTCTCAATTCTTCCTCCGCTAATCAGCTTTAGAACTTCGAAGTTCGTTAAACCCGACAATAAAAAAAAATACTATCTTTAGCTTATCACACTTTATACCGGCTAACATTAGCCGTTGGGACTAGAAAACCGACCAAAACGAATATCTAATATGTTATGGGACCGGAATAAGATACCCATTAGCCATGTGAGATTAAAAATTGGTTGAATTTGAGTAGAGATTAGGACGTTTTTCGCTTGCAGGTGTAAGGCTTCTGTGGTGAAAGCACAAGAATCAATGTCCTTCACCTTATATCCCACTAGTTAAGAAAAGGTTGAATGTAAGGTATAATTTCAGTGAAAAAGATGTCCTACTCGGGCATTCTTGTCAGGTGAGTAGTTAGTGGCATTGAGACAGGTCTGGCTCATTATACTTTAAAGACTTCAATGACAAAAGAAATAGTAGATAGTGGACCAAAAAAACTCTTTAAAGCAAAAGTTCCAAAAGAAAAAAATGCTTCCTCTAGATTTGCAAATAAGCTGCTAAGCGTGCTATGCTATTAAAGCGTGGTTTCAGTGTTGTTGTCGTGCTCTTGAGTTGTTTATTTAAACCCTATATACACTGAATATCATTCGCGATCGTTTCTATGGGTTTCCTTGTTTTTCGTTGGTTGAATGGCTTTTTTAAAACACTGAATTGAATCATTCTATGGGTTTTCGTGCTGGGAAACGCAAACAAATTAAATTAATGCCTGGGATAATTTCGGGGAAAATCGGAGAAGGCACAGTCTAAATAAACCTCTTAAAACGTAGCAAATAAAGGGATTTTGTCTTTCCGGCCCCAAATTGAAAACAACATTTAAAACGAAAAAAAAAATAAATTTGATTTTCGTAACGCAATACAACTGCTTTGAAATATCAGTGATTAATTTAGGAGATACTCCCTGAATCTAAGCAATTGTGAGCATGAATTGATTGGATATTGTTTTTTTTTTTTAATATTGCCTTAAGCGCGGTAATTGGAAATCAAACCGAACAAGTCCTTTTAACGCCCGCATCGACAACCTTAATTATATGAAACTGATAAAATACTAATATTCATGTTGGGCAAATTAATTAGCTTGTGATCTGATTAGTTAAAATGACCCGCTCCATCAGCTTGATGATATTTGCAATCGGATGCCAGATAAATGAAATATTCCACAACTGCAAATCATCCGATAATGCTTTAACATTTATTATGATTTGTCCGTGCGAAACAGCCTTTGGCATCGTCGTTATCTTGAAGTGCGGACGGAGAAAATTTGACCTAAGACATGAGGTAGTTAGAATCAGAATTAAATAAAGGAAGAATAATTTTTTTAAGGTTTTAAGCAACTGATCTTGGTATGGTCGACTGAGTAGACAGGGAAAACATAGCACGTGCTCAGTAAATCTGTTTTAAAGAACTGACGTAGAAAGGAGTACAAATATTGACATCAATAGACTAAGTACAAAGTGAACATGAATCAGAATATAGAGTATTAAATGTCTGCAGTTTATAATATTTCCCAAGTAAACGCTTTAGATTGCTAATGACAACATATTCAGGGTTATTCATTCATATTTGCATTGATTTTCTTAGCTGTACGCGGATGTTCCCGACCTTCCAGGGCGGTGAATAGTTTTATCGCCATACCATATGCTTGGTTAAGAACTGAAACAAATTTTTAAAGTACTCGTGACAAGTTTTTTTTTTTCTAATCTCCTCTTAGGGTATAGTGCCATCTATGGGCGACCTGATTGTCGCGATTAAAAAGTGTATCTGGAGATTTATCATCCGCTTGTAGAAACAGTCAACCTGCAGACGGTAATTTTTTTTGTGGTAAGGCATTTGACAGAAGGCATTTTAGGATGTCCAAACCTATTGTGCGCGTCGGATAAATTTTACTGTCACTTTTATATATTTTTAATTTTATTCCCTTTCTGCTAAATATAACAAAGCATTTATACGGAAATGAAGTGTATTTCCGTTTATGAGTGAAAGGACAGGAAAATATTGATTTCTTTTGTCATAGGCTACTACAGTAAATGGTAGTAAGTGGTTCTTCAATGTTTTTATTGTAAGAGATTCACATGATCCAGTTTGTTTTTCAAGCGTATGAGAAAAACACTGCCAACAACAGTTGGCTTCTAAGCCTTTTAGTGACTTTTAAAACCTACTTTAAATAACAATCAGTACTTCCTTCTGTTTAGAAATTGTTCTCCGTATAATTATTTTATGATGAAGAGGGTAATAATAATAATAACAATAACAATAATAATAATGACGATAAAATTTCTCGAGATGAAATAATTCCTTCCTTCGATGGCGTCGTTCCCAACTCATGTCCGACTATCCATCTCATAGCGACCAACACACTGTTTCTTTCTGCCACCCTACTGAAGTAGCACTTCGATTTACTTTTACCAATTATCCTGAAGATCGTCAACTTGTCACTGGAATCCGGTCATTTTCCGTCTTCTTTGAAAACTCCTGTTCTATCTCCACTACTTAAGAAAGTCAACTTAGATCATGACTGAAGTTCTTGCAAACTATAGACCTATTTCAAAGCTCAAGGTGATCTCAAAAATTATTGAAAAGGTCGTCGCAGTAAGTCTTCAAAAATATTTAGAAGCTAACCAGCTAAATGAGCTGCTACAAATTAATCTGCCTATAAACCTTTCCACAGTTGTTAAACCGCCCTTGTGCTCGTTCATAATTTTGGTTGCTATTGATAAAGGTCACTGTGTCAATGCTTCTACTGTTAGACCTGTCTTCCGCCTTCGACGCTGTGGATCACGATATCCTCCTTAAAAGATTGCACTCTAAATACTCTATACTCTATCTCTGGCACAGCTCCTGAATGGTTTCGCTCCTACCTTACTAATCGCTCGCAATTTGCGTTTATCGCAGGGTGTTGAGCGAGCTCAAGTGCGGTGTACTTCAAAGTATAATCCAGAACAGTCTTTACCCCCGCGCTTCGCTTTGGAACTGACATAATCAAGCCCCTTTCACATACAAGATATATTGGCGTTATCTTCGATACCACTATGTCCATGCTTCCCCATGTCATCAATTTTTGTAAATCTGCCTTTTATCGTCTTAGCACCATTTCCCGCATAAGGAAATACTTATCATCGCCATCTACTGAGATTCTTATTCACACCTTTGGGACTTCAAAACTCGATCACTGCAATTCTTTACGATATATTAATGTCCCTAAAAACGTCATCAAAAAGCTTCCATGGGTGCAGAATGCAGCTGCCAGACTGATTACACGCTCACATGTGATCACATCACTCCCATCCTCTTCGGTCTTCACTGGCTACCTGTTTCTTAACGAATTAAATTCAAGATTCTACTACTTACCTTCAAGGCTCTGCATCAGCAATCTCCAACCTACATTCAAGACCTATTGACCCGCTACTTACCGTCTAGACCGCTTCGATCATCTTCTACGCTCAGTCTGAATCCTGTTAGCTGTCTCAGCCCCCAATCTTGAGAACAAACTACCTGACGATACACGGTCATGCGAGAATCTAAATATTTTTAAGTATGAACTTAAAACTTACCTTTTTAAGAACTATTATTTTATTCATCAGAAAGACTTTTTGTTTTTACATGTGTTATATTCAAATTTAAATTTAGTTTAATCAATATTTATTTTAATTTTATTTTTTTCACTTTTTAAGCGCCTAGATCATTACGGGATAAGCGCTATAAAAATGTTCTTCTTATTGTTATTATATTGTTATTTTAAAATAAATATCTTAACTTGTGCTTTGTTATTTGTTTCAACTATACAGTTAATCTTAAAAATTAAATGAATCTATAAATTATTCTTAGAGTAAGTTTGTTAAACAAGCAAAAATTTATTAACAAAAGAATCAGTCTTTTTCGCGCTCCTTTCGTTTTTCGTTCTTTTTTTCTTTTTTTGCAAAAAACGTACAGATCATTCAAAAACATTGCAAGGAATGGGGCGGATTTGACAGGCCTTACCAGGCAGGCTAGGGTCACGGGCAATGTTAACCGAACGTGTCAAGTTTAAGTTCCTTGTGCAATCCGGGTCTGACAACGTGGTTGCTGTTCGATGGATACGAACTTTTTCTTAGTGAGATAGAGGAGTTTGTAGGTAAGGAAACAGCTATTGTAAACGAATTGCTTATTCGGAAAGGATTTCAAAAGCTGCGTTTTGAAAAACGATATCGAGTGTTCAATTTTTGTAGTTGCCGCTCTAGCCTATTTTTTGAAATTCACAATCTGCAAAACGTTTCTTCTTTTGGAGGGGCATTTGATAACTACACTGGGCTAATGTGACGGGAATTTGAACAGGTCGTATTCGCAACGGGGCACGAGGAGGCAAGGTAAGGTCTATAATGAAAGCGACCCAAGTCAGACAGGCGGATCTGTGCAAGTTTTTGTCCGTTCAAAATTAAAAATTGGCCGGACTTGTGTAAACTGGGTATAGAGTGTTTTCATATGACGTTACGGCGGCCATATTGGTGTTCCAAAACAATAAAACGGCGGCTATGTTGGTGTCCAAGCTGAATACTTTAGACAACACGGATACAGAAACAATTTCCGCTTTCCGTTTTCGTCTTTTTTGACTGTTTAGTTGTCTCTGCTCACAAGACGCGGGTGGCTATGCGATTTCCCGCCAAAATAACCTCGAGTTGCATTTGGGTTGCCCTACCTGTTGGTTGAGTTATTTTACATTGGTATGCCTGTGGTGCAGCCGGGCGGGCGAACGGTCACGTGATTACCAAAATTTCTCGGATGGTTAGATTACTTAATTGTCTTACCATGGTGTTCCGCTGGGGGCGCTTCGCGCGCGTAACCCCGCTATAATGGCATATGTCACTGCTAGTTGCTAATTGCTAATTCACTGCTATACCGAATAGCTTTTCGTGCCGACGCGAAAAGCTATTCGGTATATAGTGAGAACACCTACCCGATGTATGAATGACTCTCCACTCTAGAAATCGGCGCGGCGCAGCGTCGCTCCGGTCCGTTACAGAAATCACGCCGAAATCACGGTTCTTACGTGCAAATGGAAGCCCTATCCAGTATGGTTTTCGTGCCGGCGCACATTCTATCCCTTATAGTGTGAACATCCTAACTCTCATCCTTTTTTTGTCGCATGCACATAAGCTAAAATTTGGAGTTTATCTACCAATCTATTGCGATCGTCCTTTCTTCCTCTCTTTTGCTTATACTTTGCGGCCTGTCTTTTCTATATCTAGTCAGTTTTGTTGCCCAATTGATTGGTTTTCTTTCCCATGCAATTGAAGCTGGCCAACTTTCTAGGAAAAGGGGAAATTGTTGTCAGGAAAGAGAAGTATGTAAATAGCCAAATTGGCAGTGGATTTCCCCAAACATTTTAGGAGGTTTTTGTGCGTAACTCTAGCAGGATTGGTTAGAATTTCCGAAATGATACTTGTTGAATTAGTTGCTCACCAAAGTTATCTCTTTAAAAATTGACAGCAAAATGTATTGTGCATTGTTCCAAATTGATCCGTATTGCCGATCCGATCCGTAGCCCTGGGTCAAAGTTACTATAAATTCTTCAAACAGCTGTTTGTTTTAAAATCAGTTTGCCGAGATTATGTAATAAAATAAAACAACTTGCTCAAAATCGATCTGCTTAATTCCAAGGAAATGATTTAACAAATATATACTAAAACACAGTTTATTCTCGCCAAACTAGACCTTGGAGAGCAATGAAAATAATAATGAGGCTCCTGTCACATTGACTGGTTTTCAGGGAAGTCCTCACTAATTATATTAAAAAACCAATCACAATCAATCTAGACCGGTGACTTTTCCGCCATCCATGACCTCTATGACCCAGTAATTTAATTGAGCGATGGCTTGTTGAGTGCTATGGACTGCTGTTTGTAAAGATAGCCTAGCTGATCTATATGAATACTCAGCTGACTATGTGCAACTCTTTCAATGACTTTGCTTATTGCAGTAACAGTATTTTCTGAGGTGTGGGAAATGTTTTTCGATACAATGTGGCTGGTCTTTATACGCGTCAATACGGCTAATTTCTCCAAGAAGCAGAGGAGAACCTTTGTTCCATCTAACGGAAGCCTCATAAAAACCCTTATTAGGAGACGTCACCAACTGAATCTGATACAGCGTGTCTTTCACAAGCGTATTTTCAGCTTTGTCGCCCGACACCGCTACGCAACCGTCGCACGTATCGTCTGCGGCATTTTGTGTATGTTGAAATCTTTGCATAGCTTCTTTCGGCATCTCACGAAACGCGCTCTTGATTTCTTTAAGAGTCAACCGCTGACACAACTGTGACAGCTCATCACTTTGGGACGTCGAATTATTAATATAATGCACCACAAACGACGCTGTTTTGTTAACTATTTCCTCAGAAGTTGACACTTCCTCCAGATCGAGGCAAGGACACCAATGATCCTCGACACCTGCACTTGCACATGTGCGATTTTGTTTGTCAATCCGGTTAAATAAGCTTTGACCAATTACAATGCTGTTCGGATAACTCGGGTATGACAGGATATGACGCAAAGTTGCATAAACGTCAAACGGTGACGTCAAAACGCGGGAGTTGTTGACGAGGTTGGCGTAGAGGTCAGGATACTTGCTAGGAAACCATTTAGGTAATGTTATGGACAGGAATGGGAGCCTTTCCTCCAGTTTTCCTTGAATAGTTTTTCTCAAACCCGAGTACCGTGCTCCATGATCAGCAAAAACAATCAGCAAAGTGCTGTTACGAAATGATTCCTTTTCAAAGGTTTGCAGGAAAACCTTGAAATCATCATCAACAAAACCAATAGTGTTGGGGTTGCCGTGTGAAATATCAGCGTGGGACGAGAAAGCAAACTTTGGTGTCGTCCTGTACATGCGAAAATAACTGAGTAAATATTCCAAAGACACGTTGTGTGACGCCCGGCTTTGTATACAATACCTGTAGTTCCAGTTTATCAATTTATAGGCTTCCAACCAGAATGGTCTTGCGTAATGGTCTGTAGGTGGCTCTTTGAACCCGTGCAAGCGATAATTGAAGGATGCAAATAGAGGGGAATCCTCCGAAAACATCGTAGCATATCCGTGATATTTAAAGTCCTTAAAAATCCAGCGCCAGTTGTCAACTGTATGGGACGAACGTATTCTCCTACGAGCTTCCGGCTGGCGAGCTTCTTCTATCCCAGTAAGCATTGCAGACAGTTGTGCAGTGGTACCATCTCCCACGATAGTCTCCCCTGTTCATACACAAACAATACAGTAAACACCCGCATATAGGAACTAATGGATTAAGAACACCAGGCTGAAATTTGGCCCATAGAGCACCATGTATATATAAGAAACGGTTCAGCCTGATAAAAACATGTTCTTATAATATGTAGATTTAGCCAGGGCTAAAAGCGAAGCTCTCGATAATATTTATAGTTTGCTCAAGCAAAATATATAATCGTGTAATGCTAAAGGTGATGTTACACGAAATGATTCGCAATGGCGATTTTTAGCGCAACACAGCGTTGCAACATTGTAGTAACATTGTTTCGAATGGTTACAACATTGTTCCAACATTGCAGCGGTGTGAATCGTCGTGTGTAACATCACCTTTAAGCGGCGAAGGAAACGAGAACGGTGAAAAAGCAACAACAGGTCTAATTAGCAAAAGAGCAACTTTGCACGTGCAGCACACTTTTTTTGTACATTTCTTTGCCGTTGTTTTGCACGAATACAACGTGAAACTTTCAGAAACTTCCTGGTTACGTTTTATGGAGGAAATGTCGTACGTGTTCTTGTTCATTTTTTTTTCACTGCCCCTCATTTTCACCTTGGTGACCGCTAGAATTTCTTTGCCACCGCCGCTACAACATTTTCATGTTGTTCTCGCAAAAAAAAGTGTCTCCTTTCTCTTTTATCTCTCGCTCAGCTGTCTGTCGCTGTTTTTCTCGTTGAGCTTCGCTGACTTTCTCTTTCTCTCTGTCTCGCTCTTTCTCTGTGTTCCAAATTTGTGGACATGACAATTAATCTAAGCTTTATACTTTAGACAGCACGGATACAAAAACAATTTCCGCTCTCTGTTTTCGTCTTTATTGACTCTTAAGTTGTCTCTGCTTCACAAGGCGCGGGTGGCTATGCGATTTCCCGCCAAAATAACCTCAAGTTGCCATACCTGTATGCTGATTGAGTTATTTTACATTGGCATGCCTGTGGTGCGGTCGAGTGGGCTGGCGTACGGTCACGTGACTGACAAAATTTTTTCGGATGCATTGGTTACCCAATTTTCTTACCAATGGTGTTCCGTTGCGCGCGCGAGAGAGATCCGCTATAATAAGGGAGAGGATGTCGGATTAAGAAAACAATGTAACTATGGTTGCTGCTAGACTGTTACAAAACTATAACAGTTCCCTGGGTGTCTTAAGGATTTCATTCTCCAGAGGATCATGTTATGCTGCAGCTGGTTGAAGGATATAAATGTCAAATGCATGTAATAAACTATCTGGTTGCATAGCCGTTGGAGTCTTTACTGATGAAAGCAAATTTGATTGGCTGACAAGTCAATGGTGGCCCCGGTTTAGTTAGCATGATTGTAAGAAATATTTTTAAAATGTTGAGACTAATGTTACATTTACTACCTGACAGATTTTTATTTTATTTATTGATTTACTGATATTTATTTACAATAAAGTATGCTAACTAATCCTCTAGTAATATGTTTGTGCAGTATTTCTGAAACAAAGTTTAAGAACATATTAAGAACATCGTTAGGCTGATTTCTCACTAAGCACCCGATAAAAAAGAACTAGATCAGCCTGAACCCTGATATCATGTGTTCTTATCTGCGGGTCCTTACTGTATTATATTTTTAGTTTTCCCAGTTCAGACAATGATCAGGATAAATTAGGCCAACATGCCCGGTAGGAAGACATTAAAAAGAAACCGTTCTTTTGGGTAACATGGGGGTAACATCACGTGGTTTGAAATGGGAAAACGAAACATACAAGTAAAAGATCTATTACAGCAACGAATATTTAACAATCATTCCGTAAAATCAAGGTAAAGACATACACGCACACTTACCTTGCATCAGAATAGAGTCCAATGATGTGGTCAAATACTCCAAACTTTTCGGCATCTTTCTTTTAAAATTGGCTGCTGATGTGGAGTCAAACATAATTAGAGCAACATTCAAAGGAATCCCGCCCTGTTTCTGTTTTCTTTCGAGGACTTCCTTTTTTGGAAACACGTGCATGTGTACGTCACTTTTCGTCTCGCCCGAAGAGGTTACAACTTCCACTCGGATGAAGTCCTCGTCAACTGAAGCATTCCCAAAGAAAACGCCTAGATGCAGAAGTGAAATGTTTTTAACAACTGGTAGGAATGGAAGATAAACATACTGAAAGTAGGTTGTGTAGCGGTGGACATACATAACATACACAAACCTTATTTAGTGTATCGATATCTTCTCGGAAAGGCTCTAAAGAGACGCACTGTTCGGAGACATTTTTACCAAAAAATAAGTTGACACAATACAATCATATTTTTTCATATTTTCGGATTTATCACTATAGCTGACAGCTAAAATGGCTATTAAAAATTGAGTAACATATAAAAGCTACTTATCGGCTTCCAAAAGTCCGATTCAATCCAAACCTAAATTTTATCACCAGCTATCAATAAAGATATCATCGGCTTCTAAATAATCTTTCACAATATGTCACTTTTGCTATTGTGTTGCTGACTTCGACCTTGGCCAAACGTCGAACTTTTCATGAGACGAACCAAACTCAGTAATATGGGTCTACCTAAATTAAGTTAAAATCGTTTGTTGGGTCAGACGTCGAACAACCAATCAACTGAATCAGACCAAAAAGCCGGCCTGCGGGAGTTTCTCCCGAACGAGGCTAAATATACATTATCGTACAAATGTTTAATTTATTATAGTGTAGTTCGTCGCATGTGTATCGACTTTTGTCCCGGAGACGATCTACAGACGTTCTATTCGTCTGAAGCAGACTGACAACGCGACAACTTAAGCAGAAGGAAAACTTTTTTTGTCATGGCCAGCTTTTTACTTTTTTCAATATTTTTCTTTTATGTGGCTAAGACGGCTCGTCCAACAGAGTGTGATCAGTTACTTTTTGTGTTGTCAACTAACAAGTTATCGACAAAGAACTAATTTTCAGCCGACTATTGAAAATTCCGACCAAGGCTTTATCTACTATCTAAGATCTCATAACGTCAGCTCATAACATCATGTCGTTTTCAGGATTAAATATTTGATCGGAGCTTTCAACTACTATGAGAATTGAATGAATTGAGTAACTATAACTAAAAAATGAACAAAGAAATTAACGATGATAAATGCATTATGGCATCCATGTCATCAAGGACCCAGAATCTGTCCTTTAATTTACAGCCCGGATACGGTCGTACTAAACGATCCTGTATTTTCAGTCTGTCTGACGGGTGCAAAGCACTTTTATCTGTCTTATAAACTAACGTGACTTGAATCTGCTTCTTAGGTAATCACTGATTCTGTCGTTTTTTCTCTGGGTGAGAATATATCACCATTAGCAACTTAAATTTAGCTCGCCAAAGTAGCATTCTGGCTGCAAACTGCTGTTGTTGTGGATACATTTTAATGATTGTGTGGCCTTAATCTAAGCCAAATGAAAGCAGCAGGCATTTTCTTCATTTCTTTTTTGGTTCGGTTTTGTTCATGTCTATTTTTCCGTTATCAAATATGTAGTCAGACTTGAGACGAGGTCTTCACC